GACTCGCGCTTGTCCCGCCCGTATCCAGCCCCTGGATCCTCCAGAGCCGCGTTAACTACCCTGCTCCATGCTGCCATAGAGCGGGGCTCCCACCCAATGTGACCAGCGCGTCCCTTCCCTCTCGTGTGAATGCAGGGGCGTGTGCCTTCCTGGATAGACCTCCTTTAACAGGAGGCCTTCCTTGTTGAGAAGCGATGATGCTTTACTGCTTGTGCTTTTGACGATTCTTAGTGGATCCCTGCAGCAATTACAGCACCGTGAGCACAAGGCTGTGCTCCCCCAGAGCTTAGCTGAGTGCTGAACATACCCAGGTCCTGTCCTAAAAAGTTGGAATTCCTTTGACTTTGCTGGTGTGGTACCCCTGTGTGATCTGTGACTGTAGCTGAATGCTAGACCAGGGGATCATGGCATGGATTGCTCAAAAAAGAAGTCAGACGCCAAAAATAGCTTCCATACATAGGCCGCTTAACTTTTCTACCTGGGGAATTGGGACAAAAACATTTCCAGGATGGAAATGACATAGTTCAAGTGATGTAAGCCATTGGCTGCCTGCTACTTTTCCTTTTTTTCTGCCAGAAGGAAAACATAGCATCATGTAGAAAAATCCCCTGCGTTGTTAAATAATCACCGAATGATGTAACCTTTGATACTCAGTAGGGCACGCTGGCCAACACGGGCCTCTAGAACATTCGTTTCTTGGGGTTTCCAGGTAGTCGCTGTTTTCATTCAACAACAGTGATTGGTGTGGACAGCTCCTCCCGCTGTGGCGATTCAGGGCATTGTGAGAACTGTTTTTCTCAAAGGTAAAAGGCGTGGAGAGAGTTGCTGAGCCATGACCAATCATCACGTTCCTCATCCATCTAATGTGCCAGAAAACTCAATGAATGCATACAGCCTATCAGTTCTACGCAATAGCAAATAAATAACATGGCTTTTGTAAAGGTTTGCCCATAATATTTTTTTTCCCTGTGCACATTGCCAGTGGTCTGCCTTTGGCCTTCCCTGATTTTACATGAATGGTAAAAAGCAATAAATAAATAAATAAAAATAAACAAAAACAAAAACAACACACACACAAAAGAAATGGGTTACGCTGAGGCAGTAGCTAGGTGGAAGAATGCTGTCTTCCTAGCATGTTCAAGGGTACGGATTTGATTCCCTGGCCCCACCAAAGGCAAAGGAAGTGAGTGAGTTAGGAATAATTTATTTTCTCTTGTCCTGGAAGACATTTTGATAAGTATTTGCTGAGTTAATGAATCGGTCAATAAATGGTAATTTATTACAAAGTTCCTTCGTGGATCTATTGTTGTTATCTCCTAGTTTAACAGCTGCACTGCTTTTTAAAAGATATTACTGTGTGTGTGTGTATGTGTGTGTGTGTGTGTGCTCGAGCATGTATGCATGCATGTGTATTTATTATGTATGCACACACAACATGCGTAAAATTTCTGCGAATGAATTCCCACTTCCTACCTTGTTTCTGCCACTGAGCAGTGTACTCCAGGCTAGCTGGGCCATCTCACTATATCACTCATGCTGGGATTACAGTTGTCTGTAGCTGATCTTTTACATGAGTTCCAGAAATGAGCTAAGGCTGTCAAGCTCACGCCTAGGCAAGTACTTGCACCTACTGAGCCAACCTGGTCCTGCTTTTTTTCTTCTTCTTCTTTCTTTTTTTCCCCTTCCTTTCTTTTTTATTTTTTTATTTTTATATATTTTTTTTGAAGTTGAAACCGTCTTTGCTCCTTAGTTTCCAGCTTCTTAGATGAAGGATGAACATCGTGGGTATATGGATGAGTTGACCAGCATGCACAAGAGCCTGTCGGTTGCTTGTAACAGGTGCTAGCAAATCATGGTGGTCTCAGCGAGTGTCCCAATTCCATTAGCCTCCTAGCCTGCCTGAACCACAGAACAGTGGAAAAACTGACTTCAAGAAAGTGATGAGTATACTTTCTTAAAGTGTAGTGTCCATCTCTTTGGAATTGTTTATTTCCATTTTGTTAAACACACACACACACACACACACACACACACAACAATAACAGAAGAAACCCAAGTAGCCTTAGTCACTTCTGCTATTTGTCTAATAAGAGTAGAGAACTTAAAGATAATACATTTTAATTTGTTGCCCAAGCACTGGTGTTTTATCACAGCCACAGGAAGGTAACTGATCCAGGCCTGTGCCAGGAATCACTCGCTCTTCACCTGATCTCGGTGTCTCTTTGCTCTTTGGTTTCTGTTTTACCACATGGAACCAAATAGGCCATGGTTTTTCTGCATATTTTCTAGAGACAGATGGGACCGTGGAATCAGATGGCAATGTGGATGTCAGTTCTGCTGCATAACCCGTCTCTGTAGTTCTCCTAATGAATATAAAGTACTTGTTGAATATGTAGATATAGAATCTAGATAAACGTTTTATTGACATAGCATAAGTTTTATGTTAATACTTTAGATTTACGTATCTGTATTATGTTTCTGATTGGTCTTTGCTTTGGCAACAAAAGGGCCCCCGCCTCATTCTTTGACCACTGTCCCCTCCCCCTTCCCTGCCCCTTGCCTTGTGAACATTCAGCCTGTTGAGTTCTGTGAAAATCGACCAAGGCGAGTCTAGCTTTACGCTGCCATTTCACTTCCTGTTTTCGTTTGGAGACAGATCTCACCACACAACCCAGAACTTCCCACATGCTAGGTCCACAGGTGTGCACAGCACCTTTTAAAAACCTTCCTTTCTTCTTAAGACCCAGATTGGATGGGTGTTCCTTCTGTGTTAATCTCATGGAAGGGGTAAGACAGGATCCGTGTAAGAGCCCGAGGCATAGCAGTAGACCCCGCCCTCCAGGTAGGCATCGGCTGGCCTCCACATGCTTGATGTTTACATGTTTTATGCTGTGTAGCTCTCACACGCTGTGTGTGCTGTAAATGACACATGTTCGCCGTGGCGCAGTGGTTCTGCGTTTCAGTGTAACCTAGAAGAAACTGTCAAGACAGACTGTCAAGTTATTCGCTGAAATGTAGATGTGCTGCCTGGCTGTCCTCAGAGTCTGCACCAAGTGCCCTCGTTGGCTTCGCCAATCTGTTCGCAGTGAACCTGGAGCCTTCTGGTTTGTCTTACACAAGGGTTGCTCTTGGGTCAGAGTGAACAGATGGTTAATCAGCCCGTCTACTCCCAGTGCTTTCAACAGAGAAAAAGAAATCATCTTGCCTCAGAAGAGTTTGCATTGAGCTGGAACATGTCTGTTGTCTACTGGGTGGGATACGGCTTCTTCTTTTGCTCATGATAGGCAGTGCACGTATGTATTTGTGTTTTTCTCCCACTTGTGATGAAGGGTTTTTATGTTTTGTTTCATGGACTCTGTGTGGTAGGATGTTCACTGGTGCCATAGAAAGACAGGGACTTGGGCCCTCTGGGCAGTGTGGCACTACTCTATTACATAGGTGGCAAGGGAACAGGCTCAGAGTCAGACGGATTTTCTTTTTAAGACAGGGCTTCATGCAGTACAGGCTAGCCTCAGACTCACTGTGTAGCCAAGGACGATCTTGAATCGCTGATCCTCCTGATGTCACTTCCTAAACTCTGGGATTCTTGGTGTATGCTCATGAGATAGCCTTTCTTCTTGGTTCTCTCTACCTATCCCCTCTCTCCTTCTATCCCTGTTATACTTTATCTCCTCCTTCCCTGCCTCCTCTTCCCTCCCCACTCCTCCCTCTTTGCCTCTCTTCTTGCTAGTGTTTGAACCTGGGAGCTACATCTCCATCCTCTAGATGTGGGTAAATTCTCAAGAAATAACTTACAGCCACAGTATCCAAAAAATACGTTATGTTGGCGTATATGTGTTTAAATAAGATAACCTCAAGTACACCAGTGTAAGAGGGCAACTAAGTTATCGCATGTGTAAGGAAAACACGGGTGATACACGTGTGTAGAGCTCTCCTGCTGGCTGCAGAAGCGGTAGGAGCGGGATTTTGAAGGGCCCAGGGCATTCCACCCTAAAGAGTTTAGATCTCCTCAGGAAAGTTACATGACACCATAGAAGAAATTTAAGTGGCCCCAAGAAGTGCATTTAGAAGTCTCTCAGTGGTGGCAGCAGTGAATACAGTCATTCAGCTGAGAGCAGACCAGTTGTAGATAAGACTGTGCCTACTAGGTGAATGAGACGGACTGTTCGAGGGATATCAGACATGTGAGCGAGACTGTCCCTAGGTAAATCCTTGTGAGTAATGATTCAAACGTGAAAAAAATTATTCTGGCTCACGGCCTCCGTCTGGTGTTCTTGGTCCTCCCGCCTTGGGCATAAGGTGATGAGCACCATGGCAGAGAGCATGTAGGCAGAGCAGAGGTGTTCATCCCATGAGAGCATAGAAACAGACAAGAAGGGGCAAAGCAAGACAGACCCTCCAAAGATGGACCTAGCCAAGTCGTCTTCATAGCCCACTGAGGAAGTCCCCACCCACATCCAAGCACCTTTCTGTGGATGGATGGAGACCTTTGACAGATGGATGCGCCTCTGTGGGATGCTTCATACCCAGACTCTACAGGAGGGCGAGACCAGCGCTCAGGTGAAGAAGTGCAGAATGGAGAGCAAGAAGGACAGCTCCCTGAGGGGCGAGAATAAGGCATCACTGTGAGAGGATACAGGCTTGTCCTTGAAAGACTGAGAAAGGACAATCTGAAGACACAGTGAATCATCCTGCCCAACCCAGCAGTGAGACAAGGGCCTCAGAAGGTGTCTTTAGCTTCCGTGAGTAAGGAAGTCACAAGAAACCCAGGTGACGCTTGGTTAATCCCCACTCCCCTTCACCCTTCTCTCCGGGATGTCATATAGGCCGGGCTGTCTCTGATATAGTTGAGGATAACCTTGATTTTTCTGTTCCTCCTTCCTCCTCCACCTAAATGTTGGAATCGAAGGTATTCATCACCAGACCTGGTCTATATGGTGTTGGTGCATGCAGATAAGCACCCTGCCGATTAACTGTATCCCCAGTCCATGGGGGACAGTTTCTGTAGCAGGAGTGATTGTCGTGGGTTGACACGTGGAAGACAGTGATTGTGGAAGGTTCTCTGGTGGACAGACTATATATAATCTAGAAGCTGGAGGGCAACAGTGAGGGGAAGAAGGGTTTGTTTGTTTGTTTTCTGTTGTCTTGTCTAAGTTCTGCCAGTGCAAAATTTCTGGTAAGACCAGAGAACTGAACATTTACGAAGGATAAGGGGTGATTTGTGGGAAGTGGTTTCCTTACAAAAGTGGGGAAAACATGCAAAGTCAAGTCAGAATGGAGTGGTTTTTCCTTTTTAATAGCAGAATGGACATTTGCTGCCTATGATTAGCGGGGAAGCATGCACACACGTGAGATCTTGTTTAATTTTAAATTCCCACTTTATTGCCATCTTCCCACCCCACCCCCACCAAACCCCTTCCCAAGCCCAAGACAGAGCAAGGGGCAGCGGAGAGAGAGGGTGCTGGGTATCACAGGAACATTGCTGGGTGTGTGGGGCCAGGCCTTGCCTCCCCATGAGTTTGTGCGGCTGCATCTTCATCTGTCTGTGCTACTTACACCAGGATGTCAAATCTCCGTGAGGACACTGTCTAAAGCAGAGTGAGAGCCACTGAGGCTGGCTGGGTTCAGGGACTGCAGGCAGGGAGAGCAGTTAAATCCCCAAGGTGAGAACTTGGTCGCCGGGGTTAAAAGGACTGGATAAGAAGGGAGTGTGTCTCCAGTGACTGATGGGCAGAGCGTGAGCTGGAAAGGCAGTAGGGTAGGGGGTGCATACGCCATTGTAAAGGCTGTTTAACTTTTTCAGTGAGAATTTTAAGTGGGTGGCCTGATGTGGTATGATTATGACTTGAGAGAATTCCTGTAAAGTAGGGATAAAGAGAAGGGAAGAAGCGGGGTAAACGCATAAAGGATTCTGGGGAGCCTGTTAGCAGCAAGTCCATTAGAACATGACGTCAGTGTTGGACCGAGCAGCTCCTTACCTGCCAGACATCCTGGCCTTTGCACTTCTCTGTATATGCGGGGTATTGGTTGCCAGTGCCCCCTGGCCCACTCTCTTCTCTTCCCCTGGAAATGTGCACAAGTGCGAAGCCTTTAAAACTAGTGCCCACCCTAATGCTGCCAATGCTCCTTCCGTGATGTTTCCCCCGACACACACAGATACCTGACACAGCAGCTTAAGGGAGGAAGGATTTCTTTTGGGTCACAGTTTCAGCAAGTCTCAGTTCATCATGGTGAGGAAAGCCTGCCAGCAGGAGCTTCCCAGTTGTAGTAGCTGGAGTTGGTGGCAGGCCACTGTTCACATGGTGCTGCTAATAAGGAGGCAGAGACGTAGGCTGGGACTAGATGTAACCTGTATAGGTCAACACCCTGTTTTTGCCAGTCAGGCCCACCTCCTAAAGATCCACAGCCCCCCAAAACAGTGCCTCCAACCGTAAACCAACTCTTCAAATACATGGACTGCGAGCTGAGTGAGGGACATTGCACATTCAAACTGCAACACCCTCTATAACATCACCCTTGGATGTAGTTTTTATTTTACCTGCTGATGTATTTGTTTATTTATTAATCGCCTGTCCCTCTGGCGCCTCCAAGAACTCCCGCCCCCGAGGAGTTGCTTGCTAAGTGTTTGCCTAATCGATTACGGAGTGAAGTTCATCGGTCTCCAGGCACCAGTTTTGCCACCATTGTCATGAGTAACCGTCGTGACAGGACAAGTGTTTTTCCCTCACCATATGTCCCTCTTTCGGAAAGGCTGGATCCATCAAGCTCCACATATCTTCCGAGCAGAGTAGAAGTGTGTCACTAAGCCACCGAGCCGCTTTCTTGGCTCCCAGCGTGTCGCGCGCAGCCTTGCATTCAGTTTGCATTAGGCTCTGTTTCTTTTTTTAGTCGGGTCGCTCGCTCGTCACAGTCCTCCAGCTTAAACTCTTGAGTAACTCTGGACGTTGGAGTTTTCTGAGAACTTGAGAACGGGATGAATGAGGCTGCCAATAGCATGCCTTCTGTGCCTGGCGTCTAATTTTGGCTCTTGCTTTAGCAGGCACCATTGCATAATTATAGCCATTGGCTTCAAAAGGTGACCACATCGCCCGCCCGCCGGCAAGGGAGGATTGGAGGCTGCCCTAGTTAGCACTAACTGTCACCTTGAAGCAGCCTAGGTTCACTTGCAAAGGCTCAATCAAGTGATTTTCCTTATCTGTTTGGTCTGTGGGAATGTCTTGAGGAATTTTCTGCATTGTTAATTGGTATAGGAGGGCCCAGCCCACTATGGGCAGGACCATTCCCTGGGCAAGGGAGTCTGGTCTGCCTAATAAGGAAGCTAGCTGTGTACGAGCCTAAGTGAGCCATCGAGCGAGCCAACAAGCAGGATTCCTGCTTCAGTGCCTTGCCCGGCTTCCCTCTATGATGGGCTGAGAGCTGGAAGTGTAAGTGAAATAGGCCCTTTCCTCCCTTGGGTTGGTTTTCTTGTGTTTTATCACAGCAGAAAGCAAACCAGAAACTGGCACAACAGGGAAGCAATGCTGGGATGTGAGCACAGGCTGGGTTTCTGGGTTTGTTGGTTTGTTGGTTTGTTTGTTTGTTTTTAAGGAGACCTGCAGTTTGGTTGGTCTTCATATTATCCCAGACCTTAAGCTTTGGTCAGCACCAAGCATGACTTCCTTAGGGGAGGCACTGTGAAGCTGTCCTTTCTGGTCTTTCCATATCAGTTTCCGTGCCCGAACCCCATGTTTTGCAGTCTTTCCCTTAGTGAAAAATCTGTATTACTAAATAGAAGTTTGTTTGTTTTTCCAATTTTGCCTAATTAAATACTTAATAGAATTCTATTAAGTATCAAATAGTTGAAAAGTAGCACAGATTACTGCCATAATTCTAAAATAAAAGCCAGGGCTTCATTGGGAGAAAGATTCTTTGTGTGTGTGTGTGTGTGTGTGTGTGTGTGTGTATATACACACACACACTATGAATTGAACTCAAGACTCACACATGCTGGACAAGCGCTCCACCACTAGGATGATGTCCCCAACCATTCCCTGCTATGTTTAAGAATACTAATAGAATACTTTTTATAGACCCTCAGTGCTTGTGTAGAGGGGCTTGACATCTTACTGTAATTTTATTCTTTTGAGACCATATAGTTGTATAGCCCTGGCTGGCCCTGGTACTCACTGTACAGAGCAGGCCGACTTTGAACTTGGAGCTACCTCCTGGCTCAATCTCCCCTAGTGCTGGGATTCCAGGTGTGTGCCCCTGCACCTGTCTTGCTGGTCTGGATCTTAAATGTGTATGTGCATCCAGAGACAGGACAGTGGTTTCTCTCCTGGACAGAGCCCAGCTGGAAAAGGAAGTGGAGAGCCCTGGGCCTGTGATTGCTCAAGACTCTGCTCGAATATACACGCAGGGACTCCTTGCCTGTGTCCAGGCCTGCTGCAATGCCTCTCTGCAATCCTCTGGGTTGGGGAGAAGTTTGATGTCAAAGGATAGTGGCTAGTGTTGAAGGAACAGATGCCAGCCCTTCTGGAACTCTCCCTGGATGGATGACCCCATTTCAAGCACTTCCTCCTTTGATGTGTACCTGCCTTGGCTGACGCTGATACCAGGCATCACATGCTGCAGCCGCAGTGGCCAAATGGTGTCCCTGAATGAGGTCATAGGGTGCTACAGGCCTGGAGTAGGAGGGAGGCTGCAGCCAGAAGCCAGCCTGTCTACTCCAGGTGTCCCAAGGTGACTCTGGACTTTAGGACAGTGTTGTAAAGTTAAGCCTGCGGATGAAGCATGTGGTGTCTCTGCTTGCGGCTGGAGTGACAGATAAGAGAATACAGTGGCTGCTGGTTGCTGCTGGTGAATGAGCATTTTCTCTTAGAGGCAGGAATGAAGCTGTGCTCTCCATCACGAGACCACTGGTGGCGGACGGCACTTAGTAATCTTCATTGAGCTCCACTGTGAGAATAAATTATCCTCAGGTCCCCAAAATTTTGACAATAAAACTAAAATATGTCAACTGGTTGTAGTGACCCATGCCTTTAATTCCAGCACTTGGGAGGCAGAGGGAGGTGGATCTCTGTGAGTTAAAGGACGGCCTGCTTCACAGAGTGGGTTCAAGTTCAAGGACAGTCTGGTATACAGAATGGGCTCAAGGACAGCCACAGCAACGTCGTGAGACCCTGTCTTGAAAAAAAAAAACTAAAATTAAATTTTAAAAAAATCATTAATAACTTCCTATTGATTTTATGTTTAAATGACACAAATTTCAATTAATGGGGCTAAGCAGGTTGTTTTATTAAAAGTACTTTCAACTTTGTTTCTCTCCACTTCTTTTTATTCTGGACATAAAATCATTTAAAATTGCATTGTAAGGGTCACATTGAGTTTCAGCTGGAAGCACTGGCCTAAGGTAAGATTCTGGGGAACTGGAAAGGTTGCGCTGTGGGTAAGAACATGGACTTTTCCTGTGGAGGATTCACATTTTGATTCCCACATCTGTCTGCATGTCACACCAGGTCCAGGAAACCAGATGTTCTCTTCTGGCCCCCGGGAGCACCTGCACTTACACACACACACATACCTCCACACACACATGCATGCGCGCATGCCTCCACACACACATGCATTCACACATGCCTCCACACACACATGCATGCACGCATGCCTCCACACACACATGCATGCACGCATGCCTCCACACACACATGCATGCACACATGCATTAGAAAAATAAAAACAAATCTTCAGAAAAGTATAGGTTTTCAGAGTGGCTCAGTGGGCTAAGGAGATTTCTGCACAAGTCGGAAGCCCTGAGTTTGGTCTCCAGGATCCACATAAAAAATGGAAGTAATCTAAGTCGCCTTATTCATGTATGTGCTGTGGTGTGTGCCTTCCCACATCAAAAGCACAATAATAACAATTAATAAGTGCTGTACAGTAGGATTTCTAGATGTTAAAGAGACTGGGACTCACTCTTCTTTTTACAAAAGAGCAAGGTGAGATCAGAGAATGGAGTTGACTTGGTCAAAACCACACAGTGAGCCAGAAGAAGGCCCCAGTGCATTTCCTTGAAGATTCGCTTTACTTGAATAAAGTAAATAAAGTCCACGAAGCAATTGCTCTGATACAAGCGAGGCAACCAAAGCTTAGATTCCAGTTTGGTTCAGTGCGCTGTCAACTTTAACCTGTGTCGTGGCTGAGCACGGAGCTCAGTGGTTGAGCGCGTGTTTAGTGTGCAGAGGGCCCCGAATTCAGTTCTCGGCATCAGGGGAAAATATCTTATTTGTGTTCTTGAATGGATTCTTTCACCTCCTTGCTTTGGGGGCGGAACCTTAATTGCTGGAGAAAAGCGCAGTAAGAAAACATTTACACGCCAGCTGTATACACAGACCCCTCTCTCTTCAGCAGACACTCTTAAGCCATCAAGGCTGGCTGGAAGTAAACCGCCACCCAGCTCATTTGTCATCATTTCCAGGCGCTGAGGACCCGGGGCTGTGCTGGACATGGGGCTGGACTAACTGCAAAGTCTATGCTAAAGAGTTCTAAAATGCATTGTTTAAAAAGAAGACCGAGTGTGGGTAGTCATCGTAACATTTTGCTCACTAATGGGGTCTTCTGTTTTGCCTCCACAGTGCATAACCAAAACTTAGCATTCCTGCCTTTAGAAAAGAAATCGCCCATGAAAAGCGAGTCTTGAGAGCGTGGTGCGGTGAGGTGCAGTTGAGGAACCGCACAAGCGGAAGGACGCAAATGTGACTCCATGTGTCCTTGTTATTCCCTGCTCACTTTTCCTCTGTGCCGTCGTTTCTCCAGTGACGCTTTCTGTAAATTTTGTCAGGGTTATTATTGCTTATGTATGCCATCAAGAATGCAATAGCTCCACGATGCCTCGGCCTCTCTGGTGTATTTTTGGTCTTTTTCTCTATGCTAGAGAGGTGAATTCTTTCAAGTCCTCTCACTGATTCCTCCTCAGATTTATTTATTTTTATGTGTAGGAGTGTTTTGCTTGCTTGTATGTCTGTGTACCTTGTATATGCAATGTCCTCGGGGTACCGAAAGTGGTTCTGCTTGTAATTAGTGTTAGAACCCTTGAAGCTGGATCTCCTGGAACTGCCCACCTGCTAGTGACACCTGGGTGCCAGCTGCCCCTTGTCCCCTGCTGCCCTCCGCCTCTCCCCTGCATATTAGCCTCACCTTCCTCTTTCATAGTTTATTCTCTGGATTCACTGGGGGGAAATTGCGAATCGCTTCCTGAGAGATGGGAAGAGAAGAGTAAGTTTTTTGTTTTGGTTTTTGAGATTTTGAATGTCTAAGAGATATTTTTCCCATTTCCCCGGGGTAGGGTTTAGATTAGACCTGGTTTCCCACAGGACCTGGAAGGCATCGCTCCATTGTGTGTGTGACCACAACATTTATAGCTTTAGTCTTGGTGTGAGTTCATTTCTTGGTTTTGTCCTCTGTGAACATTCAGTCCCCAGGTTCTGTGTGGTCAGAGTACTGTACTCCATCTGGAATGTCCCCGTCAGCTTGCAGATTCATTTCCTTCCATCCTAGGAAGGGGTATGTGGGGTGGTTTGTTTTTTTTTTCCCCCTCCAGAAACAGTCATTAGAAGGTTGGCTGGTGCTATCATATTTTCTTATCTTGGCTCTTTATTTTTTAACCTGTTTTTTAAGTTCCTGTTTGGGGGCCATCCCACACCTTCCCTTCTAACGCTGCTACTGAGTTTTACTTTG